ACTCGAAGTTGTACTTGTACGTCGTGTCCTACGTGTGGTCGTGCGGAGGATACGCAAACCATGATGATTCCCAGAAGGGTCGAAGGGTTGTTGCGTTAAACGACGGCAGCGGCGACGGCCGGCAGAGGTAATAGAGAGATAGGGCAAGGGGGGGGGGAAGACGGGAGGGGGGGGGGGGCGGGGCGTACTCATTTGTTGCTTGCCGTAGTCATTTGACCATTGACCACGCGTCCCTTTCGAGACGGAGCACCGTTCCTACACCTACTAGAGACACCACCAACATTTGGGAGCTCTTTACGTTTCTGCCACAAACTCCATAAAAAATTCTTGCACATCTTATCCCCGTCCTCTAGGGCCTCTTGTGCCCACCATCTATCCCCAATTATCGCGATCGTTTTTTCGCTGTTGTCTAATTTACCAAACTTGTCCATGTCACACCCTCTCTGTCTCATTTAGGGGGGGGGGGGGTACTCTAGTCGTGAATGACGTAGTCGTTTAAACCATTGACCTCGCATCCCTACAAAGCCGGGACGGAAAATGCCCGGGAAAACGGGAGGGGGGGGGGGGGGAAAGGACAAGGCAACAAAAGACGAACAATAATACGAACAGTTGCGAGAGGACAAGGCGAAGACTGAACATCACCACGCAGCATGGCTTGCTGCGGTAGCTTCCATGCTAGTTGAAGAGCATCATTACCCTGAGTGCGTTTCTCTCTACCCAACCTCTGTTTGTTTCCTCCATTGGGCTGGTCACTCGCTCGAGAGGATGCTCGTCCCAACGATCCTTCCTGGGCCTACCACAAATACCAGTGTTCAGAAGGTCTCCTTTCTCGTAATTCTGAATAAATTTCATCCCTTCCGAACGGGCCAACGGAAGATCTCACGGATCGACACGCCTGATCCTCTCTCTCTCTCTCTCTCTCTCTCTCTCTCTCTCTCTCTCTCTCATTCTCTCTTCTGCGCCAATTTTCCACTCACCAGAACAGTCACAAAGAAGACTTGGGACAAAAAAGCGTTCTCGTAGCAGAAGCTCTCGAACTCGTACTCAACCACGGTGGTTCCGAACACCTTGGTGTTGGTGAACGACTGGGGGCAGATCCATTCCATTCCATCCCATCCCATCCCATTTCACGGCGATAAGAAGCGGGGGAGAGAAAAACAAAACAAAATACACAGGCAGACAGAGCGCGTTAGGTTAAGAGAACATCACACGCGCCAAAAAAGAAACAGGCGGCACTCAAAAATTGTTCCGCAAATCGAGCATGTACCACGGTATACGCGGGATGGCGCTCAAGGTACCGTCGTTTGTGTGAGTATTTTCGGTGGGCATTTTCGAGCGACAGAGGTGCTTGGTATTATACCAAGCACCGGCGCCAGTCCACCGAGATACAAAAAAAAAAAAGTCCTGGATTGCATCTACATCGGGCCTGAAACAATAAAGATGCAACACCACCTTGTCCTTGTCCGTATTGTTGCTGCCGGTGCGCAACTGCTACCGTAGGTTGCACAAGATATCACACCCCTCGGACCAATTTTCGAAGCTCGATATCTCGGCAGGAACAGCAGCGACGGTGCCGAAAAATGGCGGGAGGCGTTGGAACCGCCTTGTCGACAGAAAGCTTTCCGAAAACGTATACTTAAACTTCGGCATCCTCCTCGTCGTGGAGTACTCGAGCTTTGAAAATCGGCCCAGCGGGTGTGCTATCTTATGCAACCTACGGTATGCAGCTGCTACAGTACAATACCGGAAAGGTGTAGGAGTATGGTGTATGATGGATGGATATCCCACAAAGGCCGAGAACGATACCCCCCGGACCCATGTTTCGAAGGAAGCTCGACTGCTGTGCGCTAATAGCTCACGCTCAATTCAACGGGGCTGTTAATCTGTCTCAGGACAGCAGCTAACCTTTCTTAGGACAGCAGCAGTGGTCGACGAGAGCCATCCAGCTTTAGCTACTGAGATACGCGGCCAGCCCACCGAGCTAGGACAACTGACACAAGGGCGGCGTGTGGTTTCTCACTCTACGTATTCTACAACACCTACGGCAGCAGGCTCCCGAACTCCGTTGTTGCAGCCTTCTCTCTACACAAGACGGCATGGGGTGGCGCTGCTTGTGAGACACATGCTTGGGGGGTCGGCGCGTGTACCGCGTTACCACGCTCGCTGGCTCTTGTCGAGAGCGTTTCTGCACACAGGATTGACTCTCAAGTTCCTTGAACAAACAAGTGAGAGACACGGCAAAGACACGGCAAAGCAAGAAGAGTCTAGCGCGTCAAGCCCATCACATCTGCGTAACCCCCCGGAGGTTTCGGAGATCCGTGTACACTGCCGAGCACACACAATCAACACACCTTGTAGAAGGTGCTTCCGTCTTCGGTCCATATCCCGATGTTGAAGGTTAACTCCACGTACACGTCATCGGTCAAGGTGACCGTTGTCGTTGAGGCGCTGAACGGAAACGAGAAAAAAAAATACAAGAGGAGGGTAAAAAAAATACAACAACGACGACAAGGGATCAGAACAAGAACACGTGACATTCTGGACAAACATTCTTCCAAGATGGTGTCAAACACCGACCCGACCATGCGTGCGCGGAACCCCATCTCGGCTGGAATCTTTTCCCGAACAAACGACCCTTGTCGCCATTGACGACCCTTTGGTCGTAGTGGAGCAATAGAACAATTCAAGACGAAGGTCGGTCTTCGGGGTGTTGAGCAACGACTCGCGCTTTCGCGGTAGTTTCGTGTGGAAGCATTCTGACGGCCTCGCCAACCACCACGGGCCAAGCACGACACACACATGGGTCTTGAATGAATGTAACATGGAGTCGTTGGGCGGCGTAAATATCACATCCCCTGGACCGATTTTCGAAGCTCGATTTCTGGGCAGGACAAGACGTGACGGTGCTGAAAATGGGGGCGTTGGAACCGAATTTTCCGAAAACATATCCGTTGGTTGCGGCATCGTCTTCGTCGTGGCGCAATCGAGCATTGAAAATCGGTCCAGGGGGTGTGACACCTTGTGCAACCTACGGTTTTTGTTCCTTGGGGGGCGTAAAATACCACATCCCCTGGACCGAGCCAACTGTATGCTGCTTGAGGAACCGTAGAAACACAGGTAGAAGGCGCCCCGCGAACGCTATGAATTCAATAGCAATACTCGGAGTGCATCCTAGACCCTTGTCTACGGGTAGAGATCGATTTATTGTGCTGTATCAAGGAAGAAAAAAAAAAAACAGCCCGACTAATCAGCAGAGCATACAGATAAAAGGTCTTCTCCCGGGCATGTTACTTCAACCTAGTGGCTTAAGTTGGTGGCTTGATACCAAAGTACCCCAATGGTGTTCGTTGGTTGCCTTGAGGGGCGAGCAAGAAGAAGTACCAAGACCAAATAGGCTATTATAGAACGATTCCCTATTTCATGAAAACACACAAACACACACACAAGAAAAACAACACCCCCAAAAACACCATTGGGTTCAAGGTGCCAACCTTCAAACCATCCGGCGGCCGGCAGAGTGGAACCCATCTCCCGCTGGGGCTGTACAGCAGGCGCCACGAAACAAACAATTACACCTTCGGGAGCGTGGGTCTAAGTCTCCTTCCCTCCACCACCACCACCACCACCACGAGCAGCAACACAACCTTCGGGACGGTGGATCTCAAGCACCCTTCCCACCACCACCATAAGCAGCAACAAAACCTTCGGGATAGTGGGATCTCGAGTATACCCTTCCCACCACTACCACCACCACCGCAAACACCACCATAAGCAGCAACAAAACCTTCGGGATAGTGGGATCTCGAGCATACCCTTCCCACCACTACCACCACCACCGCAAACAGCACCTTCGATAGGGTGGCGCCTCGAGCACAAAACCCTTCCCGCCGGCGGGAGGACGATCGACCCTTCAAACAAAAAAAACACTTTTCAACAGCAGTCCTCGACCCGTCGCACCTGTAGCAGTCGGCCGTGTCAGGCGTGTCCGCCGTGACGCACGTGCTTGACGGGGTCATGTCCAACAACTCCAGCCCCCTCGAGTCCAAGTCGCCCACGCCGCTGAGCTCGTAGACCGTGCTGCCGACAGCGACGGCCGACGTCCCGCAGCTCGTGTCCAGGATCTCAGAGTAATCCCCGTCGACGGACACAATCTGGGAAGCAGGGCCAAGAGACACGCGCAAGGATTGTAGAACACATAGGGGGAGGGGGGCGTGCTCATGTTTTGCAATGCCCTGGCGGTTAGACCGCTGAACACGCGTCCGTGAACAGGACCGAGAGGCATGGGGGAGTAGATTTTACAAGGGCAAAGAACTCTCAGAAGAGGGGGCGGGGGCGGTTGCACTCATGTTAACGCATGGTGTAGTCGTTCGACCATAAAGCATCCCTACAGTTGCCGGGACGGAGCGATACGCCGGTTTTTCGCCGGCCCAGGCTATGCTTCACAATGATGGATGAACCAGAACCAGGAGGGAGGGGGGGGGGGGTACAAGAAAACAACAATCCCGTGCGTACGTGAAGTTGTTGTGTGCTTCGTCCCATATACTTTTGACATCAGTTTGTGACACACAAAGTGCCGAAGGGTGCCAGAGAACGCACGGGGGTTTCAGTGTTTTTCGAAGCTTGATTGCTCCACAACCAGGAGGGTGCGAACACCACACCAACCCATACCTCTCAGGAAAAGCCCTCGACGTGATATCTCCAAAGCCACCCTTGCCGGCAGTGGTACATACCCTACCCTCCTGGTTGTGGAAAAATCACGCTATTTTTGAAAATCGCTGATGATACACCCCCGTGCGTCATCTCGCATCATCCTTAGGGGTACGAACGTGCACGTAGGCGCGTTTTCTGCACCCAAACAGCCGGTGTCACACAGGAGCAAGGCCACATGGTGTGTGTGTGCATGAAGGACATTCCCCCCTCGAAAACGAGCAAGAAGAAGAAGTACCCATAATTTAGCATAGAAGCGCTGATGATGACATTCGGAATGTTTTGATTAAGTGAGGCCCTTATGCTTGCCGAATGCCCGGTTCTACTGGCCAACAGGTTGAAACGTTAACGATATCTTGGTCGAGGTTCTGCGTTTACAACACTCCGTTTTCCATAATTATCCGTCGCCGTTCCGACGCTGACGCTTGTTGGGTACGTTTCCTGAGGGTGGCTCTTTCGTGTTGATGGCTTGAGATCATTGCCAGAGACGAATGCGTTGGATTCATCGTGAGTAAACTGATGGCGACGGTTTGTGTTGAATGAGTGGCCAGTTTTTTTGAACATGTTCTTCTCTCGAGTGGGGCATTTCTATGTATTGGTCAGCTTATTACTCGTTACAGATGTCAAGATCGTCTGTCGTATTAACTAGGGGGGCTGTTTGTGGTACTTTGGGTACGATACCCGATCTGGGCATTGAATGAATGTGGTTCAGGGTCCAAGCGCATCCCCACCGAGAGACCGCATCCAGGTGCGCTTCCGGGCAGTAGAAAAGCTGTTATGTGTGTATGTGTGTCCTTACGGGCACGCTCTGTTAATGCATAAAACATATTTACATCTTCTTCATCGGCCGTCCTTGGGACAACACAGCACCCAGACTCAACACCAACCGTTGAGGGAGGCGTCGTGTCAACTACTATGCGTGTCGATGTCCGGAATTTTGACAGCAGTATACTAGTACGTGCGGTACTGGACGAAACACCCAGCGGGGACATGGGGTGATCTCGACGCACACCCCTTGTGCGATGACTCCGATACATGCACATGCGACATACAGCCATATCACAGCAGCAGACGAACAGTACCAGCACTCCGGTGCACCACACACCGTAGATCATGTATCAGCTGTGGTTGCGTCATGAACAACGACGTGATGTGCACGAGGCGGACATTTAGCCTGTGGCATTTTCGTATGACGGAATGTGTCTACCATCTAGCAGAGCAATAGAACAACAGGGAAGTCGACCAAGAGACCAACGATGGCGACAAGGGCGTGCTTGTTGTCCGCTGGATTCTACCCATCCATGTGCCTTTCGGCAATGCTTTCCGCCCTCTCTCTCAGCTTCCAGCCACAAACGTTCTACTGCTGGATCGTCTATATCTACCAGAGTACAATCTGGTAGGTTAGGCAGGTGCCCTTCTTTCCACTCCTTCTGAAGACTATCGCATGCCACGATCAAACTCTGGTGGGCGGATGAAGCACCTTGCTGGTGATGACGTTCCACACTTGTCCACCACATCAGCCCCAAAGAGTGCCCTAAGCTCTGCTACGTCCACACCCCTCTTTCCAACCTTTGACCTCTGCCCCCAGTTCCAACACACCATACACACCCTCCTCCTGAAAATACGAAATCATCATCATCATCATCTCACTGCGAACAACATCAAACAAGTTATGCAGGTCCAGCTCCTTCTTCATGCTACCAAGCAAAGCTCTATATCTGAGCCAGGGTTGACACGTGGTCAAAGCCCTGATATCGAGCGATGGCCTGGGCTGTCGCCTTGGCCGCTTGCGCCACGATGTTTGCGACGCTGTTGGGTGTTGTCGTCGGTGGTTAGTTTTCCTTGGCTGGAGGGTGATGGTTGGTTGCCGGTGGGTGGTAGGGCCAAGTTCGCGCAACCGGCACTGGTGGAACGGGAACGGGCCAGGATATGCTACTTTGTATACGAATGTAGAAATCGAGGGCATCGCCTTTTGGGATATTCAGTGGAAGGCGTGAAAATTTTACGAAGACGATCACCCGCTGTGCTAGCCCGAACGGCGTATCAGTGCGATCACCCCCCGCTTTGGTGAGCTTATGTTCGCTTATGTCCTCGATTTCGACATTCGTATACTAGTAGCACATCCTGGCCCGCTTCTGTTCCACCAGTGCCTGTTCCGCGAACTTGGCCCTACCACCCACCGGCAACCAACCATCACCCTCAACCCAAGGAACACCAATCACCGACAACAACACCCAACAGCGTCGCAAACATCGTGGCGCAAGCGGCCAAGGCGACAGCCCAGGCCATCGCTGGCCAACAGGGTTTTGCCCACTCAGGCGCGTTTCGCGTCAACCCTGGCTCAGATGTATGCATAGAGAACCTTGGCTTGGTACAATATAGCGTGAAGAACGAGCAGGACCTGCATAACTTGTTTGATGTTTTCGCTGAAATACGATTTGATATTTTCGGGAGGAGGGTGTGTATGGTGCGTTGGAACTGGGGCATGGTCGGAAAGACGGGTGTGGATGTCGCAGAGCTTAGGGCACTTCGGGGCTGATGTGGTGGACAAGCCGTTGAAAATTGTGGAACATCATCATCATCAGCAAGCAAGGTGCTGTATCCGTCCATCTAGAATTTCATCATGGCATGCGAAGACTCCTCAGAACGGGGGGGGATATGGTGACGGAGTCCTTTAAAGGAGAAGATACAGTCATGAGTCACGAGGTACGTGCGATCTCTGCGCGGACGGACGGTCGGTTGGAGTGGCCGTTTAAACCGATCCAAAGAAACCGCTGTGAATCTGTTCTTCAGCAGTATCTTGTCCAATATTCCCACTTGCGGTAAGCGACGCTGCAACAGCACGATATGCACAGATCACCATGAAAAACGCGGTGTGCAGGTATATGCCAGCACTGCTACGGCGGTTGCACAGCAAACCCCGCAAGGTTGCGGCTCATGGCACAGCACGGGTGTGATGGCCCCGATCACGCAGTTCCTGCCTTTTTTACTTTCTTAACATGACTCTACTGCTGTATCTAAGAAAATAGGTTCTTGTTTTTTTATCGCACCCCGCTGTGCCTACTACACTCCTACAGCAGTACGTGCGCGATGAGACCCCTATCTGTGCGATGAACCACAACCTTGCTGCATTGCGATTGCAGCAGTTAGGCTGTGCCGACATTCCAAGCCACTCCAATATGTCCAAAGGTTGCAACAGGTATGCATACTAACGTACTATTTGCCGTAACTGACCCTCGGTTGTGTGACCGTTGTACGCATACATACATCAGACATTGAGCGAAACGAAAATAAAACAAAAACAAAACTAACTAGCACTCAGCAGTCGATGGCACTCAGCAGCTCAGCAGTCTGTAGCACTGCTGTAGATTCCAGCACGGCTTTAGTAAGAAAAGTCTGCGTATTTTCGTCATTGACTCAAGGAGAGAACTACAAGGGGATGTGAAATGTATCTACCTTTTATAATGCCGGTCGCCCCGGTGTGGTCTAGTTGGCAGCCTCATAACCTTCTAGAGGTCAGGTCAGTGGTTCGAATCCCGGCGTAAGCGAGCTTTTCTTGCAAAGTGAGTTTTTCTCTCGCTTCCGCTCCTGGCCAAGTGGTTAGCGCTAGTTGGTGTGTACACAGAGGGAAGAGAGTGCTGAACTCTTCTCGCATTAGAAATTGAAGGCGAAGTACCGCAGGAGGGGAGGGTAGAGAGAGGCTCTTCTGTGTGACCACGGGTTGGAATAAACGGCACTAGTGCTGTGAGCGCTGATTTGAAGTGAAAAAAAAAAAAAAAAATAGATGCTCTGAACTTAGCACCAGCTGGTGCACTGGTGAAATTCAGTGTAGAGGCTTAAACAGACTTAAAATGACCCCAGTTTTTCCCTCCGCTCAATGAAGGGACTTTCAGCACCTCCCTTTCGACTGCCGTGGTTGTACATACAGTGGGGCCCCGGTTTAGCGACCCCTAGTGTCAAGACGAAATATGGTTGCTATTCAGGGCATGTCGCTAAACCAGGACCCTCATATAGCAACTAGCGGTCTTTAAACCGGGAAACAGCGCCATTTCGTGGGACTAGAGAGGCCTTGTTGCAGAAATATTCTTTGCTGGGTCATGTATGCGTCGTACTGCAGCAGTCACATGAAGGTAGAGGAAAGAACAAGCACATTAGGGTGGACAACCGGGGAGTAGTTCCTCTACGGTATGCATTCTAATCAACCAGCAAGCTTGTTGCCCTCTTAAGTTTGTAGGAAATGTCTCAACAACTGCAGAGGGTGCTTTGTGTTATTTTATGTTCCGCATGCTGAACAATCTGTCCCTACATACATGTACATAGATCAACACAAATAACACACGCGTAGAAGTTGAAGTTGAAAGTCCGAAGAGGGGAAAAAAGTTGTGGCAACGTCCTTGAACGTCCCACAAAAAAAATAAAATAATAATAATAATAATAAAACACCTCTGCATGGCACGGAGAACGTTCGTGCACGCCCAAGCGGCAAAGAACCTCGTGCTGCTAGTGACTTCATTCCGCTACTACTGCTGTCGCGTGTTACCGATTATATTTAACTCAACATGTCTCTGGTGTCCATCTGTCGCGCTGGTTTCGCGGAGTGTGCTTCGGTGAACAACACCTTTGCCCTTTTGCCAAGATGGTACGCTGCCTCGCTTAGTCCACGACTCCTCACACACTCTTCAAGCGATCCAAAATGGGACGAAAATTCCCAGTAGGGCGGCGGCGCCATCACTTCCCCACCCCCCGCACCGCCAACCTCTCCCGCCTCATCTACCTCTATTTCTCGTGTTCGTTTACAGGTGGTGGATTCGAGACGTGGTGGGGAAGCCTGCATGTTCTTGGAAGCACACTCGTGGCAGGTGCGGTGCATCTCGATGCCATCGAGAACCTGCCATCCGGTGCAGGCGTCCACCGCAGCCACCCATGGCAAACATGCCCCTGGGGTGCCTGCAGTTCCACATTCGGCTGTTTGCACAACTCACCATCGGCGCACGGCATGTTGCGTGTGTGTAGATACGTGTCCCGCGGTGTTGCGTCTTTGTGTGTGGAGGAACGCGGGGTCTAGGCAAAATTTGAACCGATGGTCGCTATTGCCCGCTGAAAACAGCCCGATAAGTCGCTATCGAGGGTTCGACTGGTTTAGCGACTGAACCGGGGTGCAGCTGTGTCACGAGATTTGGGGGTCGCTAAACAGGGCATATCTCTAAACAGGGGGTGGCTAAACCGGGGCCCCGACTGTATCTCAACGGATAATCTTCCTGTGAGTTCATGCAGATGTTCTAAAAAGAAACAGGCTGCCGAAGGGTTTGATTCCATTTGTGTGCGCAGTGCATCGCAATTTTTTCGTGTGTGGATAATCCTGGTGTTTGCTTCACAGCCCGCGAAAAATTGACAATCGTCGTCTGTAATTCCCTGACCTTCATTTTCCCCACAGAGGCAGGTGGGCCTGTATCCATTTTCAACCCTGGGTGCGTAGACTATGTGCATAGCATATGCCCATGCATATGCTGAATGAGGACGTTGAATCGGAGCCCGTCCGTTCAGGGTAAGGAAGGAGCAGCTGAGAAGAGAGCCGGTGGGGGGGTGGGCGGGTTGGGGGGAGGACGCGAGTCTACCACCTCCCCGAGATGCTGAGCTCAAGAAAAAGATGCACACAGGAGGTTCCCGCGCCCCCGTGTTGAGGAAATGTTTTGCGAACAGCTGTGGGCACACCAGAAAGGGCGGTGCGTGGTGTGGTTTGAGGTTTGAAATTGAACGGACGGGTTGGTTGGTTGGTTGGTTGGTTGGTTGGTTGGTTGGTTGGTTGTGAGAGGAAGAAAGACGTGGTCCGCTCCCACAACATTATTTTATTTTTATTTTTTTGTACGCACGCACAAGCAGCAAGGTGCGCGCATAAAATGTGGCCTCTCTCGCCCCACGACAGCGTCATCTGCATGTACCACGCGCATTGTCCCACCACAAGGGGATGGGGTGAGATTTTGCCCCGGGCGGCTGCTGTCATTCGGGGGAAGGGGTGCGGATGTGCCATGATGCCATGATGCATTCTGGTGGTGGTTCGTGTTCAGGGTTCGAACAGCAAGCAGTTAGTGACGAGTCACTGATGCTCCTCCTCTGCCTGATTCCTTCTACGTACACGCCAAGATGCATACAAAAGTTTCAAGCTTCGCCACCAAAGCGCGGATTGCACAGCAGCAGCGGCACACAAAGTTGCTTCCAGTTCGCAAACACACGGAGGTTGAATCCTCCTCCTGTCGCCGCCGCCGCCTCCGTCGCCACCGGTGCTGCTGTCACTACTACTGCTGTTGCTCTGTTGCTGAACGTGGGGGCGAGCGAGCTCCGAACGAGGAGCCACAGCCAAAACAACGAAAGGGCTCACAACAAGTCAAATCAACCGCGGGAAGTATCTCGGAATAAGATTTAAAATTCGCCGTACATTTCCTCGGCCGTTTGTTTCGGGTTTGGGGATACATATATATGCAGTATTTGTATTCGTTTACGTAGTCTATGCTTCAAAACTCTGCCGACTTTTGTCTTCTTCCTCTTCTGGTGGCTTCTCACCCGCTCCCCGCTGGAAGGGTTGTCGAACACCACGAAGGAGACGCCGTCCGAGCTCCCGTCACAGTCGCAGAGCCCGCACGATAGGTCCACGGCGCCGCCATCCGTGAACTGCGAGCTAACCCCTCCCCTTCCCGCCGCAAGCAAGAGGCCCGCCGCTGCCAACGCAAGCATCCTCCTCGTACCTCGGCTCATCATCATGCTTCGCCGATGTCGTTGATGCCGCTGCTCGCCCCCCCCCGCCGCTCCTTGGCTCCTCAGGGGGATGCTGCTTCTACTTCTCCTTCGTCTGCGGCTGGTGCTCGATGGACTCATGATCCACCACCACCACAGGCCGGCCCAAAACACTTGCCAACGTCGTTGTTTGGCGACCAGGCCAGTGGTTGGGTGTATTGGGTTGTTGTGTTCTGGTTCCGGGTTCTGGGAGGAGGGGAACCGCAGCTAGGATTTTGTACGGTGTGCAGGGGGGTGAAAGTACGATTGGACGGCCCCCCACACGAAGAGAGCCCAAGTACAGCCAGCAGTACCAACGTACCAAGAGCGAGGATCAGCGACGAGACTAGAGAGCCAGAGGTTGTCGTATCAGCCGAAACGAGCTCACACTCTCTACCTCTTCTGTCTGTACTACGTAAAGAAACCTCTAAACAGGAGGGGGGGCTTCGGTTTGCCATGAACAGGCTGGTGAGGTTCGGGGCGGAGGCATTGAAGCCGCAAAGGGTCGCCGGGGCACACAAGTGGCAGACGCCGCGGGTGTCGAGACGAAAGGCGAACGTGCTGCGCAAGAAGGCCATCAGGGACGGGTCATTCGGCTCGGTAGTCATGGATGCAGGTCAGCAACCGTAGTAAAAGAGATGCCGTTTGCGGCGCTCCGAATGAGGACACGCAAGCACAGCAGTGAGTGCGTGATGTTCTCGCGAGGTGATCCTCTTTGTGCATACTACTGGTGCTGTACGGATGTTAGATGTTGGCTGCCTACAGAGCACTCTGGATTGGTGCCCAATCTGCAGTTCTCTCCACTCGTGCGGGCCCACCCGTGGTTGTCAGAGAGGATGTTGTCAGTGCATGATCAACATTTGCACGCTTCTTTGGTTTGTCAGCATCGACAGACACCGCAGACTTGCGCAGACCTCCAAACCTGTGCTGAAGATACCCCCCCCCCCCCCCCAACGGTAGGAAAGCACCTTGTTGGTCGATGGCGGTAATAAGTCATATGCATGGCTAGACTTTGGTACGTTACAGCATGTCTGCCGTATGCGCGCAGCAGGTGATATGGTTAATCATTCTATCGGCTAAGTATTCCAGCTGGTAGGGAATGATTTACCGGAAGGCCCATGCCGCCGAACACCATGTTACATTTTACCTCTGAAGCCTTTGACTAATGGTGTTGCCAACCTTCCTCTGCAGTGGCCTTTCTCTGTAATATTCTTTGTAGCTTAGTTGCGTTTTTGGGATCGAGGGCGGTTACAAGGACGAAGCTGTCGCGACTTAGCACAATGCCGGAACAGGAGGCGGGGGGTGGGGGGGAGAGAGAGAAAAGAGAGAAACATAGGGCTGGTTGTGAAGCCCGGCCCGCGCGCGGCAAATGGGCGACACATGAGCCAGTCGTAAGTCGGCATCACTAGCAACTTCTTCACGCTTGTTGCCTCCCCGCTACACATTGTGTCCGCACTATGCACCCTCCCACCAACAACATGATCAGCAAGAAAAACTGCAGTAGATGTTGTTGGTTTATTCCTTGTTCCGTATGTCAACAACGTGGTGGTGTCTGACAAGTATTTATTTGACCACGTATTTGCGGGCTATCTCCATGGTACCATTCGATGTTTTTCCGAACCTCTGTTTTCCTGTGCTCCCAGACACTGGGAAAGCGATTGGCGGGTGGGATCCGGCGTGGGATATCTTCGAAGCGCCCGCTCCTCGACCGTTGAGGCCACCAAAGCTACACAAGAACCAGCGGGACAGAGCGCAGCGCGCCGAAAAGGTAAAAACTTTTTCATCCCACGCTTTTCCCGGCGGTTCGCCGTGTTTTCTGCTTAGACATGGCAACAGCAGCAAATTGCTGTTGGTTACCAGAGGGGATGATGTGGCGAAAACGGGCTTGTTGGTACAGAATGCTTGCGAAGAGTGCAGCTAGAGAAAATAAGATTTTGCGGCTGTCCGTTACGACGATGTGGAGAGGCCTAGAGACGGTTTTCTTTGCGATTGTTTGTGCGAAAGGCAGTGGGTACTATCCAGCGTGTTCGTATTCGAATCGCAGGGGTAGAGGAAGCGCCGCCGCAGCCACGCGTAGGGTTGTTATTATATTTTTTTAAGATCGACGATTCTTGATACGGAGATAAGACGATTTTCCGTCTGGATTCACGCGGCAGACGCGGTGTACATGGGTCTCTTATGTCTCCGATGTTGCACGAAGATGTTAGCTTGTACCCGCTGTTATCGCGTTCCAACCCGTGTTGTCCACACCCGCCGACTTGCGAGTGTCTCTCCCTATGTCTGAGCTCATTCGGTAATCGCTGGGTTGTAGCATGCAAGCTTTGCCCAGTCAAGCGCTCGGATAGACCAACGCACTTCCCCTGTGACTTTACGTCAGAGCAGCGTGTATGGTACCAGTTCTTGCGAGAGGCCATCGCGAGACTGGTGGGTGTTTGTCTCCCTGTTTGAAACATGCTCTCTTTGTTGGCTGTATTGTGTCGCCTTCTAGTATGTCCCGAAGGCGTCTATCTTCGCGTACTATCACTTTGAGAGCCGCTCTGCCGCGCTTGTCAGAGATACACGACGCGCCACGCGCTTGACCTAATCTAATCTTCCCCCTCTTTCTTGTCTGCTGCATTTCCCAACTGCGATGGCGTTTGGGCAGATCACGGCCAAGCTTGGAGAGCAGGAGGCCCGGCTCAAGGATCTCAACCGAGTAAAGGCGGTCCCGAAGCCCAAGCCAGAAGACGGGACCCTTGCCCTTCTCAGATGGCTGAAGACTAGCGGGGCTGCAAAGAAAAGATAACAACAGCAGTTGCACGCACAGGGAGTGCCTAGTCGATAAAAAGGTCACGAATATCCAGGGGGGGAGGGGGGGGTGGTTACCCTTTGTGAAAATGTTGGAGCCGACAGCGGTCATCAGGCGTGCTGTCCTTTTCGCGGTCCCACTGAGAGAAGTGATGGTAGAAGGGGAAGGACTGAGACACTTTTCGGCGGGTCAAAAGAAGTTTCCGGTTGAACCGCCAAGGAGCAAGCTACTTTGATGGTTGTGGTAATTCGTTGGTCGAGGAGGGTCGTGACGCGTTACACGCTACTGATAGGTTACAAGAATTTGAGCGATCCATGTGTTTAGAAAAAGCTTTCATTGTGTGCGAGACCAGGAGAATTGAATGCCACCGGGAGATTCAGTGGTTTGGTTTGAGAGCAGCACCTATCCGCTAGACGAGGGCGCCACGAATCGGTTGTACCGGGCACAAACGCGATCGATCGATCTAACCCACCTCGTGCGGTAACGACACTTTTCGTAGAATACCTACGCACACAAACAGGTGCTGTGTGTGTGTGAGTAGATTTTTCCAGGGGGCAGTGTCAGCTGCTTTCTCTGCTGTTGCGTTTACGTGCCTTCCTCTTGTGTGCCGTGACATACGACCTACATATACACAGAAGTCTGGTCTTGTAGTGTTCAGTCTGGCGATAGGGGTAGACCGTTAAACAGGGGCGAATAGATACACTTGGAAGACTTACTTCTAAGGTCTGTAGTTAATTTAGTTAAATGAGGTCTTTCCCGGTATCATGGCGTGTACGTGCGTAACAACTTGCATCCATATTGCAGATGAGACGCGAACACACACGCTGCCATCGAGTCAATTTTTTTATTTTTTATTAATTTTGACCAAGTGAACACATGTCCTCTCGTCACCTGAAGGGCACAAATGTAAATATTTTCCTTCATCAACGGAAGCTCGTATTGCACTTCTATTGGATAAAGTGAAGGGCGCTTGTCGAAGAAGCACGTGTTCTTGCCTAATAAACCAAACAGCCACGAAAGGGTAGGGAGCGCGCGCCAGGCCGCGGCGGCGTATCAAGGCCATCATGAGGGGGCTCCGCGGATTCTCGTTTTCTCTTGTGTTGGCCCCCCGGGAGACACTCAATAGCCAACACAGCCCGGACACTCACTAGAAACGTGTGATCTCACGGCCACCAGCATCGGCGAGCTCGAGTAGCGTGGTGGACGTTGGCGTGGGATAGCTGGGGCTTCGGCGTCTCCCTCGAGCAAGTGTGCGTAGAGAGTGCGAGCAGCAGAGCACATCAGCGCCTGCTGGCGCCGCTGATCTTTTGAGCCGGTCCTGCTGGCCACCCTGCTGTGGTGACTTGCAGCTTGTGGCAGCAGCAGCAGCAGCAGCAGCAGCAGCAGCAGCAGCAGCACTCATGTTAAAGGGTCCGACGACGAACCTAGCCTTCCTTACCCAAGTGCTCGGCTCTGATGGAGAGGCAGAAAGAGATCTAACGGAGGAAGGGCGTCGACGAGCGGCGGAGATTGGCTTGCGCAAGTACAGAGGTGATCCATCAACATGTGTTTTTTTTAAACCGGCAGCAGACACAGCAGCAGACGTCTTCGGCGGCGCCTAGGAGCGAGAGCAGTCAGCCGGACAGAGTAAACCTATCAAGGCGTGCAAAACCGTTGTAGACGTGCATGACTCGCGGACTCTGCAAGACTCTGTATCCACATTTTGGTTTTGCGTTCAACAGCATTTTATACATAGTGCGGCGCGATTTGGTTTTGTAGACTATCCAGTGGACGCCGCCGCTTGGAAAGGATGAGGAAAGCCGGCAGCAACGCGTGCTGTTGGCATGCACCCCTGCGGCAAGCAGAGGCACGCGTTGGAACGAATAGTTTGGCGTGATTTGCCTCGCTGCCATATGAAAAGTCGACGTTTGGTCTCGTCGCCCTAACGTTTGTGGAGATTCCACATGTTGCAACGGCGGATAGATGATCCATTACTGCTGTACCACCATCCATATGGCACGCATCATCACCTAGCAGCAGCTGGAACACAGCACAGCAGTTAGAGATAGGTACATCCCAAGGCGCCCACTCGATTGGCACTCGTAGCAGGAAAAGCTGATAGTGCAATGCATACCTCTTCGGAAATTGGTTCACTCCGAGAAACTCGGCATACACGCCCATATGCGCTGTTGTGTGCGCCGCAGCAGACCTGGAGAAGTCTACCTAGGTGACATAAGACACCACACGCCCTGCACCGATATTCATAAGCTCGAGTTGGTACTCCACGACGAAAAGGATGTACAAAACGAGCGATGCGTTTTCGGAAAAGCTCTCGACGAGTAGGTTCCAGCGTCGTCATTGTGGAGACCACCAGTGTTTGTTGCTGTGGAGTAATCGAGCTTTGAAGATTGGTCCACGGGGTGTTAACATCTATCTATGTAGTCATGTCGTTGGTACGGCAGTCTCTCCGATGCCTCCGCGGAGCCCCTGTTGGACGCCACGACTAATCGGCGGAGAAGTACCATGACGGATGATGGAACAAGCTTTTCCTGCGGGTTTTTCACGTGAAGGTTGTGTATGTGTAAAAACGAGCGCCTTTACGCACGCCAGGCGGTTAGCGCGGTCCTCCTTCCCAACGTGCTCGGAAGCCTCCCGCTCTGTCACTCCATCCCTCTCCCACCAGTCATACTCTCAGGAGGGCTCCTCGGAGGCCCTCCATGGCAACGAACTTCGGAGAGTGGTTCACGGGATGTAACCCGGTGAACAAGAGCTTGGGAAACGGTTTATTCGTCGTGGGAAGATGTTTCCGTGTGTCACTTTTTTGTTCGGGAAATAGACGAAAGTGGGTACCCACCTTTTTCTCAGACAAAAGTGGTGTGAGAAAGGGGTGGGTATACCCACTCTTTTCTATTTCCCTTTTTTGTTTCTACAACAAGAAGACCCCCACCGGCCATCATATTCTGTCTTCGCGGTTGTACCAAAACTCAAGATAGATCGCCGCCGGGCCGCGCCGTTTCATGTCCTAGGGCCGTTCGATTACCAGACTGATGCGCATGTGCTTTACTTTTCGTGTTTTAACCATTGCGAACGA